TCGGGAGCCTTGGCCGCCGGGTTTGGGGCGTCCCGTCTGCTGTCTCCAAGTCAAAGGCGGAGGGCTGCAGCGGGAGACGGGCGCCGCGCCGCGCCGCGCCGCGCCGCGCCGCACGTGTCCGTCGCGCTGGATCCGGCGTCGTTGCCGTCGGAAAGTCAACACGGCGCCGAGTAGGAAACGCGGTCAGCGCCGCGCGTTGCACCTCGACACGTCTCACGTCGGGGACTGACCCTGCCAGGGAGCCACGAGCGCCGAGATCGTGGCAGCGCGAGAAACGCACGGTCGTTGAAGTCGTGCCCACATTTTCGTCTCAATAAGAGTGAAAAAACACTAAAAAGTCCAGCGGATGCACGGGCAGATGCGTCTTGCTGCTTGCGAGTGGCTAGAAACCCCAGGGGCGCCTTGAAGGGGGGCAACCGAGGCGACGTCGCTGCTGCCATTCAAAACTGAGTCACGGCCAGGGTGCCGCGAGATCCTTCGGAGGGTGCTAGCGGGCGCCAAGCGCCGTCAGGCCTGCAAACACGGTGCACGAGATACCCCCGCACATTTCCAAGAGGATCCATAGTGCTCCCGACGCTCACCCCTGCTGGGGCCCTTCTGACCCCCAGAATTGCTCCAGTATTTTTCTGTAGTCAAAAAACGAGAGAAAATGAAGACCTGGCATTTTCAGGGGGGGAGGCTTGAGTCTAAAAAAGTGGAGAACCATTTGTTGAAGAAAAAAATAGGCCTTGTCCAACATTTTCCAGTCTCTAACAGTTTCTTTCCCTCCTGGTCCACCCACCTCTTTTTAACAGCGCTAAAGCAGACCGAGGTGTGGAATGGCTTGTTCCTGGCTGTCCGTGGATGGCAGGGAAAGGTGCTTGTTTCAAAACGGTACCACATTTAAGGATGAGTCATGACTGGGTATTAAGCGTCCCTATTCTGTCAGCCTGAGCGATGGGTACGCAGAGGGCCTGATGGCAGAGGTACATTCAGCACCACAGAAATGTCCAATGTGCTGCTTGCTAATGCCCCAGGGCACCCTGCAGCTGGAGGGTGGTCCTTTATTTCCCTCTGGGAGCTAGACCAATTGAAGGTTCATGAATCAGCTACCAGTGCTCAAATGTATGGCTTTGTAGATCTGATGAATGGTGTGGGGCCGCATCGCACATTGGGACCAGTCTGCTGGCCCGAACTAGCATGGGGTTGGTCCACGGGTGCAATCCGATGTGTCGGCCCAGCCCTGCATGCTGTGCCTGGCTTTAGAGCAGCCCCATGCTCCAGCACACGGGGCCCTGTCATCCAGCCCCAGGAGGTTTCTCAGGGGTCCAGAAATGTGGCGGTGGAGGAGCAGTGGCATCCAGAACTGTGCCAATGAACAGTGCCACTGCTCCATTGCCCCCACATTTCTGCACTCTTGGGGAGCACCCTGGGCCAGGTGTTGAGCACCATTGATTGTTGAGCACCAGCACCGGGCTGGAAGTTGAGCACCATTGATCTAAGGCCCTGATTCTCAACCAGGGTGCAGGGATGCTGAGGCGTACTTTGAAGGGTGCTGCTGGGGTTTGAGGAGAGAAATGGATAAGCACAGGCTCAGACTTGTTCCTGCCTGGCTGCTCCCCTGCCTGCACAGCCTGGCTCTGTGCATGGAGATAAGCACTGTAAAAAACATGTTCATTTTTTCAATGGTGTGCTGCTCAATTCACAAAGCAATGGAAGGGTGTCTCAAGCGTAGTGAGCAGTGCCTCAAGTCTAGCATGGTTGAGAACTATTGGTTTAACGCACTGATTCTCAAGCAGGGCACCCTGAACCCTGGTGTGCCGTGAGATCCTTTTAATGGTGCCATACTGTATGAGTCCTGCCAGGAGAGGGGCGAGGACTGCTGGAAACTTCCTCTCTGCTGAAGCATCCAAAGCCTTTGGTTTGTATTCAAGCAGCACCAGTGGCGTGAGAGAGACAGAGAGACACATAGTCGCAGTGTGGGTTGTAATCTGGCTTCCTCCCAGGGCTTGTCCAACCTGTATTGCAGTACAGCCTGTCTAGTGGGCGTGGAGGACCAGCACTGTGATCACATCTCCCTTTCTTTACAAAGAACAAGATTAGATTGCAACACATTGTACCTGTTAATAATGAACTAAAGCTCTTCAAATTATTTACTGTGCTGAACCAACCAGCCACTATATACACTTAAAACTACAAATCAGTGTTTAAAGGTCAGTCCTACATGGCACAGAGGTCTTCCTGACCTTGTTTTACCTTCTTTAGAGCTCTCCTGTAGAGAAAGTTCACGTTCATGCTCTTCCCCGTCCCTTTCATGGTTGATCCTCTGTATGTTGAGGTGGAAGATATTGAAGATGAACCTATTTCTCTGGAGGTCTTTTGGAGTCCCCACTAAGTCTAGGAGTGTTTGCTGTATTATTGAAAAGGTCCAGAAAAAAATGCAAGCTTTTGAGCCAAACTCTATCCCTTGACAGCAGCTCTGGTAGAGATTTTGCTCTGTGTCAAATACTGAAATTTCTTTGCTGCTGAAGTTTTAATTCAGCATCTCATTTCTTAAATTCCTGTAAGCTGGGCCATTTAGGGTTAAGCTGCATCAGTGCCATAGAGCTAATGGCATCCTAAGTCATTGTCCCATGAGCATTTCAGATGGAGAGAGTCCTAGTGCCAGAGGTGTAGATCGATATATCAGGAATG